CAATCGTTTTAAGCCACAGCTAAATTTGCGCGATGAGCACTTAGCTTGACCCTCCGCAAGTGGAAACAAATTCCAAACACTTCTTTTCATCATTGCATCCTGCAGTTATTTCCAATGTCCTCAGCATATTGATCGGAGATAAACTTCCGTAAGTCTTCCACATCTGACCGTAGTCGTTGAACTTGGTTTATTTTCGATTTTACGGCATCGACGTCATCGGACGTGTCTTTGCTTTCGCTGTCGTCTTCATCCATAGAAGTTGCTGGAAAGCAATAAAAGAAAGTAAAGGAGCCATGAGTGTGATAGGTTTTAAACGTTTCTGCATTCCCACGCACCAAACTCAACAGTTGCTCTTACAAATTTCAGGCATCTCACGCAAAATTACCCAAGCTGTGCCAAGCATTACCGTGAGTTTTAGGAAACCAGTGCTTGCTTGTTTACGGCGAAGAAAGAAACGAATTGACGAAGAGGATAGTAGGCGACAAACTTGAATAATTTAGGAATTAATTTTCAAAATGCACAAAGACCCAGTCCCTTACTATCGCTTCTCTTTGCACACTGGTCCACTGGCCACGATACTTTCCGCTAGTGACTTGGCTCAACAGTTCTAGCCGGTCTCTCTTGGTCGACAGAAAATCGTCTGCTAGGTAATTTGGTTTTATCAACTGTGCTGATAACGTAAATTGGCCACCGTATAGAGTTTCAAAGCTGACGTGTCGCGCGTTAGCTCTTCGTCCGAGCGAATTCCGTTCTCCAGAGGAAGTGCTAATGCTCAAAACGAACTAAAAAACAAACTGATTAAAAAGAACGATGAAATGCCAACTCACATCTGAGCCCAAGCAAAACAGACATGTCAGGATCTTTTCCTTCTCTTCTTTCCCGACAAACTTGCACCACAGCCGTGAGTTCCGCTGTACATTCAGAAAGCTACAGTAATGAAGTGGAGATAAAAGTTTTGCATTAAAGGAAGTTACCATAACCATCTCTATATAAAAAAATCAATTAAAACGCCACCTTCAAAGCATGAGTAAGATAAAGGTTAGCGTGCCTTAACAGCTGCAACTACATAATTCTGAAAAATTTCAATAAAATTTCCCAATTTTTCATTTCCCCATGTTTCTCCTACTTCAGCAACAATCTTTATAGAGAGCGTGACCTTGCATGTTTTACGTGACAACGTGATAACCTTCACATCGTAATATCATACCTCTTTCCAAAGTTTTCTCTGAGATTCTAATTTTTCTTTCGAATTCAATATTTGTAACTGTAAAAGAAAAAAACAAATTCAGAACAAACTATAACAAAATTGAAAATATCAAGTCAATCACGTGATGCGTTGCTATCGTCTTGTTTAGGGCTTAAGATAGAAGACTTATAATATACTGCTAGTGGGGGGGGGGGAATTGGAGGATTTTGGTAGTCGCGATAAAATTCACCCGACCCCTCATAAGGCTCTGTAATATTGATGGCAGTCAATATTCAATACCCCCTCCATACTATGTTGGCGACGCCTGATCTCCCCCCTGAAAACCAGGTGATCCCTAAAAATCCTCACCCCCCTCCCCCAGGGGTAAATAACGACTGGTCCTTTATTCAGTACAGCAGTTCCTGATTATAACCATTGAGTCCACTCACAATAATGATACAATGAAAAATAAAAACTTGTCGTGGCGACCATTGAACTAATGCTGTAAATTCGATCAATACCTCACTCAGAGTAAAGACTCAGTTGAGCCGAGAGTACTAAACGGAACAATGAAACCACAACTTTGAAGGTAACAAAACAATGTATCATAGAAATTTTTCGGATCAATATCAGTATCTGGGCAACTGCCCACCTACCCCTCCCCTAACCCAACATTAACCCTAACTTGTTATGAATTGACTGTTGTTGAGTTAGGGGAGGGGTAGGTGGGCCGTTGCCCAGATACTGATATTGATCCAATTTTTCTACCTGCTCACAGCGGCATTGAAGGTTTAAATTCTCTTCCAACAAATCCTGGTTGTGAGAAGCAATCTGGAAATGAGATATTTTAAAACAGAGGTGAAATACAGTGCAATGTCAAAAGGATACCATCAAAGGCAGGAATTACTGATTTTTGCGTAAAAACCATCCCCTTTGTGGCCTTCTTGCTATCCCCTTCCAACCAGTCACATTTCATATCGGATAAAGCGATCCTCATGAGATCTCCTGGAGAAATCTAAATCTTACATGCTACCATTCTGTTTCAGTTCCCTTACATCAACGAACGCGTGAACTCAACTGAATTGAACTCCAGGCAGTGGCTGCCTTATTCTGGCTTAGTAAAGTTCATGATAAACCAAACCGAAAAAAAAAGCACACTGATATCAGTGCAATTGTGCATCTACGTTTAACCTTTTAACTCCCATGAGTGACCAAGAAAGAATTTCTCCTAACAACATCAGTCCACTTTAAGGAGACAAGTGATGAGAATAAAGAAAAATATCAACTAGGGGATTATTAGATGATCCAATAAAAAATTCTTTGAACCAAAATCATGAGAGTTGTATGGCTGACAGTTGGGAGAATTACTAAAGAGATCTTAGGAGTGAAAGGGTGAAGTGTGCCACGGCTGTAAAGGAAGCGAGAGCCGGTGCGAATTTCAAACCAGACTTCAAAAGCATTCAATGTGGAAACTATATTTGTACTCACCTCCTTAACTGCTTTCCTGACCTCTTCGAGTGAATTTTCTTTCGCAACAAGTTCATCCCGCAAGGCATGGACCATTTCCTGCCAAGACAAGGGCAAGGATTTTGTTGCGTTCATTATCAGCAATACTCTCCGCTATCCACTCCACAACCCTCTAACGGCTAACAAGTGTATCAGGTTTTTTCGTTCTGTTCAAACCAAACTACTCTTCAAAGGCACTGAATCAAACCAAGATGATTAAGCTAAGTTTTTCAAATTACACACCCCAGATTTTTTTTTCTTTTTTTTTTTTTTGGGAGGGTATGTCTTAGCATGGGAATTTAGTTTCCCCCTACTACCGTCCTGTCAACCATTTTTGTACTTTTGTTCGATATATGGTTACGAACTGTGATTAAAGATTAAAGATTAAAGATAAAGACAGAGTGGGTTCAGTTCAACTGTACTTGCGATCTTATCTCTATCCATACCTCCTCTTGCGTTAATCGCTCCTCCAAGCTTTTTTGCTCCTTCTGTGTTTGACAATGAAGAGTTTTCATTTTCTTGTGCTTGTTTTCTAACGCCTTAAAGAAAAAATGTCGCAATGGTTATTTCGATAAAACGAGAAGCAAATCAATGGAAAAAGGAACGTTTACCACGACTGACGTATACTTCATTTTCTCAACCCCTTCAATCCCAGACGTGATGAACAAGAATAGACACTTAATTCTCCTAACAATATCAATATATTATCCGGCAATGAAGTTTCAAGAATTAACAAACTTATCATTTTGAGGTAAAACCTTAGATTAAAAAACCAATATCTTTAATTCACAAGGAACTGTACAGCAGGCAGAAGGACAAATCATTTATTATATCTACGGGAAAAGATTGAAGCCCTTAAAACAAACGAAAAAAGTTGAAACAAGGAAGATACAGCCAGCCACAGATAAAGAGAAAGGAGCGAGTGGACTCATTTCATTCAATAATATTGAACCCTATTATTAGTCTGGTAGGAAACAGATTTCTGAATGGCTGTGACAGCCTGGTTTGTTAAAAATCACACAAACACAAACACACGCACCCACAACCACACCACAAACAAAAGTTTCACCACATGAATTCTTTCTAAGCAATTCTTTCTTCTAAAACTCTGAGCTTCACCAGCAAACTTGATAACACAGCAACTTGATCCTAATCTTCTCGCGAGGCAGGACCAGACTCGCTCCCAGTCCCGCGGAAGTGACATTGGATTAAAAAATGTCAAAAAAAAAAATTAAAAAAGGTATTGGTGAAGGTTGGCAGTTTACCTTTTTCGTTCGGTCAAGTTCCACCTGTAACCTTTCATTCTCCATCTTGAGATCTTCAAAGCTTATGAGTGACACGGGACCATCGTTGCTGATTTTATCAAGAGACACCTGAAGTCTGAAAACAAACATGGTTGAGTCGTATGAGCCTAAATCTGCACAGCGGCTGAAGCCTCTTCTGTGGGCCCGTTTACAATAGGGCCTCGGATAGGCTACCAGCTTGAGAAAAGACCTTGCTCACGAACTCAAAATTTGAGCAGCTACCCTTAAAACTTGTGTCGTGCCCACGTCTTGAGCCAGCGACTCACCAAAAACTGGCCTAATAGGCACAGAAAATAAACTGGCTCGGTATGTACCTTTGCACGTTCTCTTTCAAAGTAGTATTTTCCACTGTTAACTTCTTTGCCTCATCATCCTGAGGAAAAAAGGAAGAAGACAAGTTGGCCAAGGCGTAGGAGATAAATTTCCGACCGTGAGAAAATTTAGAAAATGTTATGAAACTAAAAGCACACTACTCACGACAGCCAATCAAAGAAAGGTAAATAGCACAAGGATGAGAAATGACAGTTAAACGAGGCGGTGCCTGAAGAGCAGGAAAATGCGGAGAGCTAAGTCGCAATTTGTTTTTGCTTTGCGTCTGATTGGTTGAGAGGTGGCGCGGGAGGGTGGACCAATCACGAAGGTAGGCGAAGCCTTAACAGAGCAATCCAGAATTACTTAACTCACATAACAAAGAGGCCTGCAATAAGCGAATTGCTACATCGCAACGCAACAAAAATAAACCAGTGGAGAAAGAACACAGAGAGAGGTAATATCACTACAGGCAGGCAATTGGACAAACAAGCAGCAAGATATGCAAAGACCTACGTTTCGGGCGAAGTACATAAAGGGGTAACATGATTATGTCTGTCCACACTCAAATAACTATAGAAAACTCCCTAGTATAGTCACTGGATCTTTGTTAAGAACCGAACTTAAAGAGAAACATCAAAATAAGGAAAAAAAACTTTACCTTATTTCCAAAAGCTTTATTCATGCGGGCCAGTTTCTTGTCTTTAGCGGATATAGTTTCTCTCAATTTTTCACGCTCATCACGAACATCTTTAAGGTAAGAAATGTTAAGGGAAACAAAAACTCTTGACGATATTAAACGTCGAACCATCACAGTGTAGTTCCTACGACTTCATAATACTTACTCAAGGCTAGGGGAGGGGTCCTAGATGGAATGTCATCACCCACTTTCCCATGGTTTTCAGGCTCCCCAAAGCCTTCGCTAATACGCATTTTAGTTCTGAATTCGATTGAGCGACCAGCTGAAGAACCCCTTGTCATGACTACGACTGAGGCTACCTCCCCCCCAAACCACTTGCTTTGGAGTTCAACACCTTAACCACTGGATTACAAAGGAATTCATTATTACTGTTAATAAGAGTTTTACATAACTGTTCAGTAACTGTTCAGTCGTGCAATAGTTACCGGTAATCTAAACTCGAAGTATATTGCTACGTAGGCACTAAAATCTACATGCACGTTTCCAATGGTTTACTATGGATATAGTTTTATTTAACTTCTGATATTCTTCGACAGTAGGCACTTCCTTCAGATACCGCTCCAAACTCTGCTTTTCTCTCCTATCAAGAACACACACACACAAAAGGAACAGAAAAGAAACACATCTGTCAGCTAGCTTGAATAAAGGGGTAAGTTTCTAAAGAAACTGTGGTGCTGCGTCGGTGGGAGAGTATAGCAGGTAATTTAGTGTTAACAACTGAGTTGAAAACGTAAATTAGCCACCGGAAAAGGGTAAAAAAGCTGACGTTTCGAGCGTTAGCCCTTCGTCAGAGCGATTGGATCCCATTTGAGCCGTAATAGTTTCAGTGTTTTCTATTAGAAGACTTTTAGAGTCAATATTGATTCTTAGATAATGAAATGAACCAAAAAAGGGAGTAGTTTAAATGGACAAGGGTGTAACTTGAAAATCCACAGGATAAGTACGAGATCTGAATGGTAAGCGGGAAATTAAAGTAATATCAGGAATTTTGGTTGGAGTGAAGGGGATCCCTAGAATCGTCACAAATTATGGAGGAAATTCTGAAGATGAGCATGAGATCTGGGAGGTCAGCGGAGGATCAAAAGAATAAGCACAAACATTGGTGTGTGTGCAGAGAATCCAAGTGGTAAGTTACAGGGGGTAGGCAGGAAATCCCGGGTTTAATCGCTCTTTCATATCGGAGTAACTACGAAAACTTGTCGATTGTTAAATAATTAAGAGGCACAATCTTGACTGTTAAAAATTGCTTCTTACTTCTTTGAAAGGGCAACAGTGGTGAAGGGTAAAGAAAGCACCTACACAGATACTTAAAGTTGGAAAGAAGTTTTTTAAAGAGTTCGTAGGAACTTCCGTGGTTGTTTGATCCCTTCTTCTCTACACTTCGTTCACCATTTTAATCGGAAAGAGTATCTATGTACTTCAGAAAATCATTAAACTACACACCCTAATCCAAACGCCAGGGATAGGGGTATTGGACAGGAGAATATCACAAGTACAACCGTTACAACTGTTTTGAATGAGCCTTGAGCAGGAAAACCGATTGCGAAAAACTCTCCACACAAAGACAATTGTCGCATACAGGTAAGAACGCTGGAGTTATTAAACACGATATGTAAGAAATAACTTACTTGAGCTTTAACTTTTCTTCTTCTAACTGTTCCAGTTTACTTGTCAGCTCTGCCTGAGCTTTTTCTTGTTTAATCGCCTATTCATGGAGGTAAAGAAGGCTTTTCAAGTAAACTCGAAACTATTTGTACATGGTCTTTGCTCAAACTTCAAAGTTACAGAAACTTTGGCTGAAACTTGATATCTTTCCCAAACGTTTTATAATCACGTCTACGGCTGATTGTTACGGAAATGTTTCAACTTATTTACCTTTTGTTTCTGTAGTTCGAGTTCCTGTCTATTTGAAGCAGCTGAATCCTTCACGCTGGCCTCCATATTTTTCATCAGATATTCTGTTTCTCTGCAAGTCAGACACAATATGAATTGGTCAGCAGTTCTTCAACAAAACAAAGCGCTGGTCATGTAACATTATTAAATCAACAAAACAAACCGCTGTTTATGTACATGTAACATTCTTAAGCTGTGTGGATTGTTGATGCAGGAGGTAAAAATCAACACCTCAAGCTTTTACAGTTTCCTGATTTTTAAATAGTAAAGGGTAAGTTATATTTCATGTAAGTTCCAAGTTCTCCAGGCAGTCAGCAGTTTTTCAACCTTGCAATAAGTCACTTGTTAGTAAATAAGACAGTAAAAGTTTTTGGCAATGGGTAAGTGCATACTATTGCTAATTACATATGTACTAGAAACATTCAAAAAGGACACAACACATCTGTAAATCTCACCCAAGTTTTTTCTGAGCTTTGTCAAGAGATGAGTCCTTCTCTGACAAAAGTGCTCTTAGTTGAGCATTCTCATACTGACTTTCTTGTAGCTTTAAAGACAATGAACTGCTGTCTCCTGTGCTCTGAGTTCGGCTAACATGGTAATGAGTTGGCACAGCTTGATGAATGGCTGAATTTGTTTGAAGCATTAGCTGCTGTTGAAGTTGAAATATACTCTGCTTTTGTCTAAAACATTAAAAAAGAATCAAAATTTGATTAAACTTGTATGGCAGAATTCTGAAATTTATCAGAAAATACAATTGAACACCTTCTTCAATTAAAAGATAGACCTATTTAATTAAAATCCTACTTTAAAATCTATTGAAATATCAACCAAATGTCCTATGGCTAATCATGATATTATACAGCGAAGACAAAATTCAAATGCATGAATGACTTGTCTCAGAGCTATTGATTTACATGAAGTTAACTATTTATTCCTTTATTTTTCACCATGCATTTTAGAGCATAAGGTGGCCCCATATACTTGCACAGTAATAATTTTAGTAATCACGGCCAGCATTGCAATGGGTTTTGCCTACTATGCTGAGATCAAAAAAAAAAAAAACTTGGTGTACACTTCTGAAGTAAGTATATTGTAGATAACCTCACCCAATTACTGTGCTTTGTAGATTTTCATGCACATTATGCTGGACCACAGACAGGTCACATTTCAGTCCAGTCTGAAATCAGATGCTCTTCTACCTCTTTCAGGAACTTTTCAAAACTGATACATTTTTTCAGTCACTACATTTCTGTAATTCAAACTTTCTAGTGGAAATTTTTATTATCTTTTCCATCTGCTGAAAGACATACATTTCTTTTTTTCATGTTGTCCACCATGATGTGTGTACAACAAACTTACTCCAATTAGTGAAACAGAATCTAAGGAAGTACTATACCTGTCTATTATCTGATCTTTTTGTCCAATAAGCTCATCTTTTGCTCTCAGGTATGAGCTCCACTTGTCACTGTCCTCACTGGATGGGCTAATGGATCTAGAAGGTGAGCCTGATGAGCTTGTGTAACCCTCTCCGATCAGATTAAGGGGGCTGTGTCGATGTGAGGTTAAAGCATTTGTGATGTGACCATGGGGTGCAGAGTATCCAGATGAAATTGTAGACCTGGTTGATGGGACTGACATCCCTATAAAAACAGAAACTAAAATAGTTATGGCACTTTTCTGTAACATATAAACTTAACAGCAATGGAGATGCATAACAGATTATTCTAAATGTGTTCACAAAGCAAAATGTTCAGAAGGTTCTAGAGACTAGATTCTTGGTTATTTTTATTTAATTTGGTTGCTTCTGCTTCTTTAGTTCCAATACTGATTGACAACAGCACTAGTTAATGAGTAAGTTTGGCTGTGAACCTATGAGTTTGCATGTTAATTTTAACGCTGCCTTTCCAAAATAGAAAAATGGGTGCTGGTGGTTTTAACAATCTTATATAGCCTCTATTAAAGAACAAAGATTTAGTCTTACTGCAAAACTTCACCTGTGGGCATAGTATGACTTGCTTGGATCACTGTTCCATTATTTAATGGCATTTGTCCCGTGTAGCCAGTAAATCCATTGTCACAGGCATTTGTTTGTATGTGAAGTTCATTAAGTCTTGAGCTTGATCCCCAAGGCTGCTGTATTCCAGTGTTAATACTTTGCATACTCCTTAATTGCCGCCCTTGGTGTTCAGCCAATAGCTCTGCTAGCTCAGTACTATCACTGTATTTTCTTGTCATATGTTTCTGTCTTGTTTTTAATGAACCACTGTGAGCTGCTTGGTTTTTTTCGGGAAGTCTTTGAACTTCGACGTGATCTGTATTTGAAACTGGAAACAAAACCGAAAAAATTCAAAACAATCATCATACTTTGAATATAATTTTCATAAGTGATAGTTGAAGTGAGCCACAGCTATTTTATTGGGAAACATTTTGTTTGATTATTATCATAAATTCAAGATCATACTAAGCATTTAATAATGCTGCCATTCTGCAGATTTTACTTAAAGTAGTATCTCACAAAATTTAATTTTATGCACCATAAGAAAAGCAAATGTTTAATATATGACAGGAAGTTTTTAATACAAATTGAAGATGTTTCTATAATGCTATCATACAAATATCTCACACTATTTCAAATGTATTTTAAAAAACTAAAAATAATGTTCTACAAACTGTTTTTACAATTAATATTCATTACTCTCTGTTTTAATGCTTTCATATCCTACAAATGAGAGGAAATGTTGAGTACCTTTGTGCCAGAGCTGGGGAGAAGATGGCTCACTCAGAGAATTGCTAGGTGCTGTTGCTTGTGAAACTTCAACATTGTGATTCAAGTCCAGGTTAACAGCCTTAATGGGTATTTTCAATCTAGGTGATGACCAGTAACTACTCTCTGTAGGGCTGTACCGCGAGGTAGACATCAGATCTAAAGAGTACAAACCAAGTAAAGTTATTTTCAATAAAATGGGTCAGTCAAACTGACTCTTACACCTTCAATTGTTTCACCTAGTTTAATTCAACTCAGGTTAAATCGTCGCTCTTCGCTATTACCACCAGTGAGTGAAGCTACCCAACTGATACAGGGAGCTTCCAATTAAGACAAGCAGGACAGAGGAAGGTATAAAGTCTTTAAAACTCGCATTTTCTGTTCACTTTTTAACTCATTTACATGTTAAAATATTTTGACTGCCTTGATCAAGTTCCCTTTAAATACCTCCCACATTTTTATTTTTTTATTTTTAGATTGTTTGGATTTATATAAAACCAAGAAACACAGCAGGATAACTTTTTACCCACTGTTAGCTTTTAATGGTGAATAGTGATTAAATCTTCACTTTATGAATAAATTAGCCATCACAACTGGCTCTAATAGATAATGAACTTTTGTGTTTGACAGCAAGCTTCATTATTCTCCAATTCGATTGGACAAATACAGTTCTAAGCACAACAAACATAAATTGAAAACTCACTTTCAAGAATAATCGAAAGATAATCTGTGTACAGACATAACCACACATGGCTTACAACCACGGGATTACAAGAGTGAAAGAAATTTAATTATGTCCGGCTGAATGCGGAAATGAAAACAGCTTGTACACGTAGGCGCTTTTGAACTGTTGAAAGTTAGTAGGCTATTCATTACATTTTGTAAAACAACGAAGTCGAAGTAGAGTTTAAGTGATTACATTTCCAGCGAATTGTTGAAGGCGAAGTCTAAAAATTTCATGGTTGTTGGTTTTTTATCGGGAGAAGTTTAAACCACAGGAAGCAAGACTGGCTATTCAATTTTTGACAGCTGGAAAAAAGGAAGCTTTCGGGCCACCATTCGTTTTGCTGAGCTGTTTTCCCTTCAAAGCGGATTTTAAAGCTAGAAATATATTTTCTGAGAAAATATTTCTTGCCTTATTTGTAGACTTCACATTTAGGAAGAATGTTGTAAATCACCGAAAAGATCGCGACTTGTCGACTTCTAAGTGCTTTTTTCGGCATGGTAACCACAAACATCAACATTTGCGGCCATGACAGATCGTTTGGACAAGAAAGACTGAAACAGTTTCGATAGAGTGAAAAGGGACAGACAAAATAAGAAAAGACGAGCCAATATATAAACGCCAAAATTATCCCGAGAATGTTCTAGAAAAAAAAATAGCTCCATACTAAAGAGACGCTTAGCACAGCATGGCCGTGCCGCAAAAATCAAAATGATACGAAAGGCGATATCCTGCTATCATTGATCGCTTAAAATCTTGCAAATGAAACTACTTACCGTCGGAATAAGCGAAATCTCCCCTCAATTCTACCTTTGGTACAGTTTAAAAGAGAAGAATTAACAGTTTCCCTATGAAGATAGAATTCAATGGCGTGTAACTTTCAAATAAACCGCTTCAAACAAAGCGATCAAACAATGCACTATTGGCGATGTTTTCGGCCAACCACACAATCCTCAACGAAAACAAATCACTTGAATAGAGTTGTAAACAAACTTCTCGATATCAATATACTCCTCAGACGAGAGATCATTCCATAAGTAGCCCACAAGTCTATTCGTCACTGTGTTGTACCGACTGTAAAAGACACTCTTCCGTCTTTTTCAGTCATTAAAAATTTATGGGAATTAACCTCTTTAGCATTTTTAGCCGCTTGAACGGTTGCAAAATGCGTGATGTCACGCACAGATTCCTTCATTTTGTCACCGGAGGAGAGGGTCGCGGGAATTATTATTCCTTTAGTACCGTTTTGTTCTGTGAGATGACTTCTTGTTTTTCTAAATTAATTTTTAGTCATAGGTGCACAATTTCTGACCTTTGAAACTTCAAGTCTCAGGGGAAAGTTTCACCAAAATGAAAAGCATTAAAAACTGCTCGAGCACATGATCGATTGCAATTACCCTTTTGAATTGTATTTCGCAAAATTTGCATGACTGTACGTCAGTAAATGCTCTCAGAGAATAAATGTTCCATGCCTCACCCCTGAAGCAGTTCTTACAACTAGTCATCCGAATTAATCTGCTGGAAAATTACCAACGTATCTGTGAGTTATAATCAAGCAGGTCTATTTCCTGTCGTTAGCGATCTGTAGTAATAGATAATAAACATTCTGATATATGGAATGGAAGTTATTGAGTAAAACAGTTCGAAACAAACAGAAGTTTACGCTTCATTTTCTTAAGATGATATCATTTCCGTTTCTTGTTGGCGAAAGATGTGTCGCAAGTCAATGCTGGACGGTCACGTCGGGTTCGTTCCAGGCAGTTGATTATGTTACGGAACTGTGATCTCTTATTTTATTATAGTTTATCTTTCATTTATTTCTTTAATGCAGGTCTTTTATTCATCTCCTTCTTCCATACATTATTTATTCTTTTCTTTATTTATCCTTTCTGCCGGGAACACAGAAGTGGTCAGAAATTGATTAATTCATCTGTGGTTATTTTTTTCCAATCATTAACCTAGTCACCTAGGCTTTTAGCAATCAGCGCCCCTCACACAAGTCGAAGTAGAGACTGTGGTGATCTTAGAGGCTTCAGAGACCCTTCCAATGACTTTACCCAGTCCTTTACTCATAGAAAAAGCGATGATAGAAGCTTCTGATAAATAAACCATAAACAAATCGTCCACCTGTCCCATGACCTGTCCGGTAGAGAGCCAGGCCTCACGAAGTCAGGTTTTGACCGGCCCAACTCCTCCTTTAGTGACTCTCCCTTAGAAGTGATCTCGTGCCCAGATTCTACCGTGTAACTGTAACTGGAATAGTGAAAAAGGTAAAAAAATGTTCTCTGGTTAAAAAGGTTTTAAAACATGAGCTTTCGGCTATTATACTATAGCCTTACTATAGCCATTCGTTAAAGGCTATGGTATAATAGCCGAAAGCTCATATTTTAAAACCTTTTTAATCAGAGAACGTTTTTTTACCTTTTTCACTATGTCACATCCTGGTTACAGTTCAATTTTTAATTGTAACTGGAATGTAAAGAAATGCTTGGAAATGCTTGATAATACTTGGCCGTTGAAGGTCTGGGTACGAGACTAACATTATTCGTAGCTTATTAAGCTAATAAACGTACACGAAAAGTTGTTTACTGCTCAAATGATAGGCGATATATTAATGCGTGATTCATGATAAGCCAGCAAGCCTCCTCTCGTACCCCTCATCAGCGAACGGCACCAATAACCGTAGTTGAGTAACGAATGGATCTAGCCGAGTCTTAAGAGCGCAGTGATTGATCCATAACCAGCTGAGCTTATTACAGTTTTGGCAATACGATATGATTATGTGTACGAGTATTACTCATTTCTCCGGACAGGAATCCACATGTAGTCACCGGTGATTACCTCCCCCCTCCCCACTACTGATTCGATCAATCGATGGATCAACGCCGAAGTTATTCCTGGTGTTCCAGCTAGAGAAAACCCGTGTCAATATATCAGAAAATAAAAAATGAATCAAAGGAACTAAAGAAACCAAGTATTAATCAAATAAAAGGTATGTTAGGAATATCAAAATGCAAGAGGATATATTCTCTTGCGAAATAAAATATATATTTAAGTATCTAAATACTTTACCCACCTATACTGAGATCTACTAAAGCAAACGGTATGAAATGCTAAATACATATATCATTGAGTTATATCAATATATTGTTATCATATGCACCTTAATATTAAAATATGACAATTTAATCCCTATGAAAGACAAGTGTCTTTGCTAGTTTCCTGATGGTGGAGAGAGGCACCGTGAGATTCATGTAAAGTGTGTTTTCCGAGTGCCTGGTCAAGAGTTGTATTGGGTCTTTCTTATTCAAAGTACCGCACGTTAAACTTTATGCAGCTGATAGCTCGAAAATGTTGAGCTTTGCACTCGGTCACTTCCCGGACATGTCAACTCGCCGACAGTCGTCTTTGGCCACTTCGGTTTACTGACACTGTTCATACCTCAATTACAGTTTGGCGCAAAGAAGGTGTAAATATTTGGTGAAGTTGTCGGCGTGTTGACAAGTAGTGTCGGCAAGTTCACCAAAGGTGTCGGCGTCTTGACTAACGATGTCGATAAGTTGATTGTCATTTAAATAACGGTCCCTGTCTGGCTTGTGAGGGTCTGCGAATCACATGTTTCCAGTTTGGTTCAGGCATTTAGTTTAGGGTGAGCGATAGCAGCGCAGAGCAAAATGAAGAAGGAGTTTTCGTATAGGTCGCGTTCCAAACCTCTTTCCAATTTTTTCTCGGAAGCCGTTCGGTACTAACAAAGCGCCTGGAAAAGATTTACCCGATTCTATCTTAGTGACATGATGAAATCTTTTGATCCCTCTTCGACAAGTTGCTGACCGAGGCCGTGATTTCAGATCAG